GAGGGTGGTGGGGTGGTCACAGGGGGTCCATGGGGTGGTCACAAGTGTCCAGGGGGTGGTCAGAGCTGTCCATGGGGTGGTCACAGGGGGTCCGTGGGGTCTATGGGGTCCATGGGGTGGTCACAGGGTGGTGGGGTGGTCAGAGGTGTCCATGGGTGGTCAGAAGGTGGTGGGGTGGTCACAAGGTGTCCATGGGGTGGTCGCAGGGGGTCCATGGGGTGGTCAGAGGTGTCCATGGGGAGGTCAGAGGTGTCCATGGGGTGGTCACAGGGGGTCCATGGGGTGGTCAGAGGTGTCCATGGGGAGGTCAGAGGTGTCCATGGGGTGGTCACAGGGGGTCCATGGGGTGGTCAGAGGTGTCCATGGGGAGGTCAGAGGTGTCCATGGGGTGGTCAGAAGGTACTGGGGTGGTCACAGGGGGTCCATGGGGTCCATGGGGAGGTCACAGGGGGTCCATGGGGTGGTCACAGGGGGTCCATGGGGTGGTCACAGGGGGTCCATGGGGAGGTCAGAGGTGTCCATGGGGTGGTCAGAAGGTGGTGGGGTGGTCAGAAGTGTCCATGGGGTGGTCAGAGGTGTCCATGGGTGGTCAGAAGGTGGTGGGGTGGTCACAGGGGGTCCATGGGGTCCATGGGGAGGTCCCGGGGGGTCCATGGGGTGGTCACAGGGGGTCCATGGGGTGGTCGAGGGCTCCCCTCCTGTCTCACCATCCAGGTCCGACACCTTCTCCATGCCACTGACCACGGGGTCAGGTCTCAGCTTGAGGCACAGCACGGCTGGGGTGGGAGGAGGGGACATCAGGGACCACCCTTGGGTGCCCCAGAGGTCCAGGGGAGGTCCCGCAGGGCTCAAGGAGGATCTGGGGGGGCTTTGGGGTCACCCACAGGTGTCGTGCTGGCAGTCGCCCTGGCTCGCCTCCGTCTCCCGGAGCTTCTCCAACAACCCATCCGTGGTCTCCTGGAACTTCTCCGCGGTGTTGCCGCTCTCGGCCATGGTGAAGAACACGCGGTGTCCCACCACGATGCTGCCGGGCCTTCGGGGAGGGGACACAGGGGGTCACAGGGGGGGCCTGGGGACACCCCACCCCACCCCAGCCCTGGGGGGCCATCAGGGACCCCTTACCTGAGGCTGGTGATCTCCACGCCCTCGTAGCCAGGGATGGTCCCATAGATCTTCTTGATCTGCAAGGGCCAAAGGTCACTCGGCCACCCCTCTGGGGACACGGTGGTCACCCCTGAGGGGACACGGTGGCCGTGGGGGGGTTCCCCGTGTCCTCACCTCCTGCTGGAAATGGTTCTGGAAGGAGCGGAAGGTCTCGGAGTTGGGGTCCTGCAGGCCCTTGGAGTAGTTGAAGTTGGTGAGGGTCACCTCCATCTCCAGGGCAGCCACGATGGTCCCGGGGAATGCTGGAGGGGCAATGGGAAGAAGGGGTCAGTGGGGTGGGACAGGGTGGGTGAGGACCTCCAGGGTGTCCAGGACCACCAAAGTGACCAGGACCTCCAGGGTGTCCAGGACCACCAAAGTGACCAGGACCTCCAGGGTGTCCAGGACCCCCAAAGTGACCAGGACCTCCAGGGTGTCCATGAACCCCAAGGACAACAGGAATTCCAGGGCTGTCAGGACCTCCAGGATGGTCAAGACCCCCAAAGAGACCAGGAACCCAAAAGAGGTGAAGACCCCAAGGTGTCCAGGACCCCCAAGACCAGGACCTCCACTATGAACCCCCTCAAAGACCTGGAGCCCCAAGGAGAACAAGACCACCAAAGGAGCCAGGACCTCTGGGGTGTCCAGGTCCTCAAAGGTGTCCATGATCTCCAGGGTGCTCAGGACCCCCAAGAGGACCAGGAGACCAGAAACCCCAAGGAGACCTGGACCCCTAAAGACACCAGGACCCCCAAGGTGCTGAGGAACCCCATGAGGATCAGGACTCACAAAGAAACCAGAACCACCAAGAGGACCAGAATCCGCAAGGACACCAGGACCCCCAAAGGTGCTGAGGACCCCCAAGAGGACCAGGACCCCCAAGAGGACCAGGACCCCCAAGGTGCTGAGGATCTCCAAGAGGACCAGGACCCCCAAGGTGCTGAGGACCCCCAAGAGGACCAGGATCCCCAAGTTGTCCAAGATCCACAAAGACACCAGGACCCCCAAGGTGCTGAGGATCTCCAAGGTGCTGAGGACCCCCAAGAAGACCAGGACCCCCAAGAAGACCAGGACCCCCAAGAGGACCAGGACCCCCAAGGTGCTGAGGATCTCCAAGAAGACCAGGACCCCCAAGGTGCTGAGGACCCTCAAGAGGACCAGGACCCCCAAGAGGACCAGGACCCCCAAGGTGCTGAGGATCTCCAAGGTGCTGAGGACCCCCAAGAGGACCAGGACCCTTGAGATGTCCCCCAGGTGTGGGGTGGCCGTGTCACTCACGCAGGTTGGTCTCGATGGTGTCGGTGGAGAACTCGCAGCGGGGACCGGCGTAGGACGGGGTGCAGAGACAGCCGGTGCCACCGGGGGTCCCCCCGTTCTCACACAGCCCTGGGGGGGACACGGGGACATCAGGGGAGGAGCTTGGGGACACCCGGCTCAGGGGGACAGCCCAGCTGAGGGGGTGGCACGAGGACAGTGAAGGTCATCTGGGGGCGGACTCACCTGGAGGAGGACCTGTGGTGGTCACCTTGGTGGTGGTGGGCACCGTGGGGGTCACCCGAGTGGTCGTGGTGGTCCCTTGAGTGGTGGATGTTGTTGTGGAGGTCCTGAGGGTGGTTGTGGAGGTCCTCGAGGTGGTTGTGGGTGCTGTGGGGGTCACCTTGGTGGTTGTGGGGGTCCCTTGGGTGATGGTGGATGCCGCGAGGGTCCCCAGGGTGGTCACGGATGTCGTAGGGGTCACCCGGCTGCTTGTAGAGGTCTCCACAGTGATGGTGGACGTTGCCGCGGTGGTCACCAGGGTGGAGGTGGAGGTCTCTGGGGTGGTGGAGGTTTCCGTGGGTGTCTCCAGAGTGGTGGTGGGTGACGGTGGGGTGACCTGGGTGACCGTGGTGGGCTCCAGGGTGGTGGTGGGTGACGTGGGGGTCTCTTGGGTGGCCGTGGTGGTCTCTTGGGGGGCCATGGGGGTCTCTTGGGGGGCCATGGGGGTCTCTTGGGGGGCCATGGGGGTCTCTTGGGGGGCCATGGGGGTCTCTTGGGGGGCCATGGGGGTCTCTTGGGGGGCCATGGGGGTCTCTTGGGGGGCCATGGGGGTCTCTTGGGGGGCCATGGGGGTCTCTTGGGGGGCCATGGGGGTCTCTTGGGGGGCCATGGGGGTCTCTTGGGGGGCCATGGGGGTCTCTTGGGGGGCCATGGGGGTCTCTTGGGGGGCCATGGGGGTCTCTTGGGGGGCCATGGGGGTCTCTTGGGGGGCCATGGGGGTCTCTTGGGGGGCCATGGGGGTCTCTTGGGGGGCCATGGGGGTCTCTTGGGGGGCCATGGGGGTCTCTTGGGGGGCCATGGGGGTCTCTTGGGGGGCCATGGGGGTCTCTTGGGGGGCCATGGGGGTCTCTTGGGGGGCCATGGGGGTCTCTTGGGGGGCCATGGGGGTCTCTTGGGGGGCCATGGGGGTCTCTTGGGGGGCCATGGGGGTCTCTTGGGGGGCCATGGGGGTCTCTTGGGGGGCCATGGGGGTCTCTTGGGGGGCCATGGGGGTCTCTTGGGGGGCCATGGGGGTCTCTTGGGGGGCCATGGGGGTCTCTTGGGGGGCCATGGGGGTCTCTTGGGGGGCCATGGGGGTCTCTTGGGGGGCCATGGGGGTCTCTTGGGGGGCCATGGGGGTCTCTTGGGGGGCCATGGGGGTCTCTTGGGGGGCCATGGGGGTCTCTTGGGGGGCCATGGGGGTCTCTTGGGGGGCCATGGGGGTCTCTTGGGGGGCCATGGGGGTCTCTTGGGGGGCCATGGGGGTCTCTTGGGGGGCCATGGGGGTCTCTTGGGGGGCCATGGGGGTCTCTTGGGGGGCCATGGGGGTCTCTTGGGGGGCCATGGGGGTCTCTTGGGGGGCCATGGGGGTCTCTTGGGGGGCCATGGGGGTCTCTTGGGGGGCCATGGGGGTCTCTTGGGGGGCCATGGGGGTCTCTTGGGGGGCCATGGGGGTCTCTTGGGGGGCCATGGGGGTCTCTTGGGGGGCCATGGGGGTCTCTTGGGGGGCCATGGGGGTCTCTTGGGGGGCCATGGGGGTCTCTTGGGGGGCCATGGGGGTCTCTTGGGGGGCCATGGGGGTCTCTTGGGGGGCCATGGGGGTCTCTTGGGGGGCCATGGGGGTCTCTTGGGGGGCCATGGGGGTCTCTTGGGGGGCCATGGGGGTCTCTTGGGGGGCCATGGGGGTCTCTTGGGGGGCCATGGGGGTCTCTTGGGGGGCCATGGGGGTCTCTTGGGGGGCCATGGGGGTCTCTTGGGGGGCCATGGGGGTCTCTTGGGGGGCCATGGGGGTCTCTTGGGGGGCCATGGGGGTCTCTTGGGGGGCCATGGGGGTCTCTTGGGGGGCCATGGGGGTCTCTTGGGGGGCCATGGGGGTCTCTTGGGGGGCCATGGGGGTCTCTTGGGGGGCCATGGGGGTCTCTTGGGGGGCCATGGGGGTCTCTTGGGGGGCCATGGGGGTCTCTTGGGGGGCCATGGGGGTCTCTTGGGGGGCCATGGGGGTCTCTTGGGGGGCCATGGGGGTCTCTTGGGGGGCCATGGGGGTCTCTTGGGGGGCCATGGGGGTCTCTTGGGGGGCCATGGGGGTCTCTTGGGGGGCCATGGGGGTCTCTTGGGGGGCCATGGGGGTCTCTTGGGGGGCCATGGGGGTCTCTTGGGGGGCCATGGGGGTCTCTTGGGGGGCCATGGGGGTCTCTTGGGGGGCCATGGGGGTCTCTTGGGGGGCCATGGGGGTCTCTTGGGGGGCCATGGGGGTCTCTTGGGGGGCCATGGGGGTCTCTTGGGGGGCCATGGGGGTCTCTTGGGGGGCCATGGGGGTCTCTTGGGTGGCCATGGTGGTCCCATCAGGTGTCATGGTGGTCCCACCAGGTTTCATGGGGGTCTCTTGGGTGTCCACGGTGGTCCCTGGGGTGATCGGGGTGGTCTCCTCAGTGCCCGTGGGGGTCCCTGGGCTGGTTGTCCCCACGATGGCGGCTGCAGGGGAGGGTCTGGGATGAGCAGAGACCCCCAAGGCCCTCCCCAGGGAGGAGACCCTGACCTTCACCTTCCTCCTCCTCCTCCTCCTCCTCCTCCTCCTCCAGCCTCTCCCCATCATCTCCACCTTCCACCTCTTCCTCTTCCTCCTCATTGTCCTCCTCTTCCTCCTCATTGTCCTCCTCTTCCTCCAAGCCCTTCAGACCTTGGACCTCTCCAACCCCAATGCAAATTCCCCCTGCTCTTCATCCTCCTCCTCTTCTTCCTCTTCATCGTCCTCCAACACCTTCAGACCCCTCAAACATCTCCCACCCCAATTCCTCCTCCTCATCTTCATCATCATCCTCCTCTTCATCCTCCTCCAACATCTTCAGACCACAGACCCCTCAAACATCTCCCACCTCAATTCCTCCTCCTCTTCTTCATCATCATCATCCTCTTCCTCCATCTTCAGACCACGGACCCCTCAAACATTTCCCACCCCAATTCCTCCTCCTCCTCTTCTTCATCTTCATCCTCCTCCATCTTCAGACCATGGACCCCTCAAACATCTCCCACCCCAATTCCTCCTCCTCATCTTCATCATCATCATCCTCCTCCTCTTCCTCCAACCTCTCCCCACCCTCCTCCTCCTCTTCCTCCATCTTCAGACCACGGACCCCTCAAACATCTCCCACCCCAATTCCTCCTCCTCATCTTCATCATCTTCATCCTCCTCCTCCATCTTCAGACCACGGGCCCCTCCAACCCTGATTCCTCCTCTTCCTCCTCTTCATCATTTTCATCATCTTCATCCTCCTCCATCACCTTCA